GACTTCATAAAACTACTAAAACCCCCAACAGGAAGGAACCTGTAGAGCTTTATAAGTAATTTGGCTGACTGCGAGGGACCAAAATCCTGACTGTCTACTACGTGTGGTCAATCACAGCACGTTGATGCAAACTGTGACTAACAGTTGCAGTAGCTGTCTAGAGACCTCTTTTAATGGTGAGAAGAATTATCTTCAAGTTGCTGTGAAACAAAAGTACTTAAAAGGACTGAAAGACTTGAAGGGGAAATGTTTTATGTCTTTTCAGTTTGGTCCAGTCAGGTCTGTAAGTGGAAGTGATTCTTCTAACGTGACGCTTTACTATTTCACTCCTGTCTGTAGAAGTTTTAGTGATAGTTGGATTACTTGTTGAAGACCAGAAAGAAATATAATTAACAAGAATTATATTTTCATTATCTCTGGTTTCTAGCTCTATAAACCTGTTCCAGAAAAGCTCTTAGAGAAGTTGGGTGGCTTTAGCTGTTGCATAAACAGCCCATTTGACTAGGGTTCCATCCCATGTGGGTTGTCTTTCTTGATAAGGTTGTGTATCTTTTCCCATATTTGATTGAAATGTAGTTAATATTTAAATACTCAAAAATCTGATTTAAATGAGGTAATGGAATTGGGCAAAGAATATCCTCTTTTTCTCATTAGGCCAAATTACTCTTAAAGAAGAAAGTTTCCTAAGAAATCATTTAATTATTGAAAACCAACTGTAGTGCAGGAAACGGTCTAACTAAAAAAAAAACCAAAAGTATCTACACGATGTAATAAATCAAACTCTACACCAAGGATGTTATATTTAAAAATTCCTCAGTATTAATAACTATCAAGGGGACTTAAGAAAACAGATGTATGTATTTCATTCTCCTTGTTGCCACTCTTCAGTATCCTGTATGAGTTAATGATAATACTTAACTTTTAAAACTTACTACTTGCCTTTTTCAAGCAACATACTTTCAAGATTACTTATGCATTGCTGCATATCTATCTCATCAGATTCGAACCTCATTAATAATTATGCCTACTATCCTTCATCCATAGAATCCAGATCGGTTTGTAGAACAATTTGTAGGGGTCTTGATGGCTGCAGTAGACTTGCCAATAACATTTAGTCCAAATTGGACCTCATAATAAGAGAATGAAAAGCCAGAATACTCTCTTTGGGACATGGTTTGTAAGTCCTCCTCTCCAGTAATGCATCACAATAGGATATTGGTTAGCAACTCCTGACAGTATGTGGTTGTATTTTCATACACCATTAAACTTGTAACAGTCACTATGCTATTGCCAGCATTGACTCTAGTAACCTCTTGTAGCAGAATCCATATGAAAAGAAACAAGAGAATTGTGAAAAGCTCCCTTTGCAGTCAATGGCAAAACTTCCACAGGATTTAGTAACATAGATTTTCATGGTTTATGTTGATTCCAGATAGGAAAATTTTTCATCTCCTGGGGCAGATTGCCAGCACGTTTTCTCTACCTCTCTTCCTTTCTCCCTGTATGCTCCCCTCCCTGACAATTGAAGTTGCAACCCAGGGGAGTTTAGATGATAAATTTTAAATTGCTGTGTGAAGATGTTACACAAGTATGGAACACAGGGCAAGCTGACTCAGTTTTGTTATTGCTTGTATAAGTCAAAATAACATAGGAATCCCATAGCATACAGTACTGGATTTTGAAAAAGAGTTGCTGTAAATGCATACCAATGTTTGCTTTCATTCCCTAAACACAGTCTGGTAATGAGGCTCCTGAAAAATGAAATGAAAATTTTTCTTTCTTTTGTATGCCTTCTGCACTGTGACAGAGGTACTGTAATCTTCACTTCCTTGTCTATAATATTAATTAATTTGAGAGTGCAGTATGTCCTCTTGGAAAAACCTAGACAAGTCTGTGCAATCAGAACTACTGTGCTTGCTGCATGTCTTTTATGCAGTTTCACAACAAACAGGCTCATGCTCTTATTTGTAGTAACTATGGAAACTTTAGAAGCTCTCTTTCTAAAGCTGAGCATACAATAAAGTGCTTAAATTGTTGGTAGGATTAGAGACTCTAGAATATGTTTAATTTTCTCTCTCTGTCTATCTTTGGAGAGGAGCAAGAAGGTAATGTGAATATTAGCTGGGGACTAGCTTTAATCTCTGCTGACACTTAAGTCTGTCTAGGTCTGCACACAGCCATCCAAAGGTCTTAGCCTCACACAGCATGTGAACAAGGGAGATCATGCATATTCATGACTGAATTTACAATGGAAAACCTACATGCAGAAAAGAGTTTTTGAGTGAGTGAAAACGTTATTGAAACCATTTTGCAGCTTCAGCTACAGTAGTCAATAACGATAAATGCCATAATGACGATAGAGTTCATAAGATAATGGGGATGTCTTAGATATTATGTAAGCATGAATGGATACGATAGTAGGAAAACATCATTTGCTGTGGGGTTTAGCAGTGTTTTTGTGTTGAAGGAGGTAAAGATGATGGTAGCAGGATTATTGCCAAGGCTAATACAGAAAAAAAAAAAATTTGAGAGTACTTTTTTCTCTGTGTGGCACTTTGTGTGATCAAGAACTGCCACTCTTTGAAAATTACTTCTGTTTTTTTAGGAGGTATTCTTTTATGCAAGTGCTGTATTTTATGCAGAGCTGTATTTTAGGAACACAAGAGAAGTCTGCTCCTCGTCCCAGGAGCAGAGCCAGGGAGAGTAGTAGCATGTTTCTCACAGTCCATTGGGAGAACTTCATGTTACTTTTTGGCACTCGTGAAGTGCCCTAAATCAGACCTCAGAAGGACCTGCTGGGTATCAGCCTTTGTTCATCTGCATTCATCAGCTTGCATACTTTACTATTCTGAAATTTATTTCTTACCACTAGAGCTGATGAGTAAGATTCTGCTCATACATGATTTTATTTCTTCGGTATTTCATTGTTGTTTTACATACTCAAACATAACCTGCAGTGGAAATACTCAGTTTATATAACTTAAATGTAGCTTGGCACTTGCATTCTCACTTAACTATAGTAGTGATGCACTGAAAGAAGAGAATACATTGATATTCTCTGTCACGTTCACCTATTAAGGCTTTGATGTGATACATAATTTGGGTTTTTTTTTCATTTCTCTCCTCTGTCATTACCTCACGCCAGAATTTTTTAAATGAAGGAGGTGTGCAGCATATTTCCTGCCAAAGTTTGAAGAACTCTGTCAGAAAAAAGCCCCATAATTCTTACTGCTTTGCCATTTTTGATTTTCAGTGCTGGGCTGCTTGAGTGTGAAAATAAATATAAACTGCTATTAAAGGCAGGGGGCTGTTTTACTGATGCATGCCAATGCAGGATTGTTCCCTAGCGTGTATGTTTCTTGTGATGTTGGTGCGAGCTGCTCTTCATCTAAGCCCTTCTCTCTCTGTTGAGGATTCCTCGTGTGCTTTTTATTTCAGTCCCTTCTCTACTTTCCTTTGGCATCTAAGTAGCACTGTAGTTAGGTATGGTCATAAGTATTTTTTTTTGGTCCCCTGTATTCTCAGTTTATCATTTCCCCTCTCTTAAAATGTAAGCTTGTGAAGGCAGGACCTGGTCTTATATTAAGAAAGCTGCTTCTGCTACATGCACTTGTTCATTCATCCACGTTGGCTGGTGCATCCAACAACGAAGCGTGAGAGACTGCCTCTGCCCAAAGTGTATAAAAGGGGTAGTTGGAGGTGGCAGCAAGGCAGGCGCAGCAGTCAGTGCAAGGTGCACAGAGAAAATGGCAAGACTGCTACTGTAAGAATGTGCGTGCAGTGGTACTGGATTTTCCAAATGCTGTCATGATAAATTGTGTAAGAAAGTCCAGTTCCGGTATTTTACTCTTTTGGCTGAAGTTCCCATCTTCCCCAATTCAGGAGTTTTCCCCTCCAGTCACCCTCTGGCAAATGCCCATTAAGAACACTATCGTATCTCTGTGCTTAGACACTGTCCAACCCCAAAGACGTCAAGGAGATGAGTAAATTATGCATATTCTTCTGCTGGATGTGAAGCTACATGTAGTAAATAATTGGTGCCCTGCAGGCAAACCACTTTTGTGTGATTCAGAATGGCTTGCCCTCCCATATGGGTAACTCGGGAAAGATTATATCATAACATAGCTTTTCAGCTGCAGAATTGGGGCTAACATCTCTGACACTTCATAAAATGAACACTGTAGTTCACTTGGAAGATGCCTGACTGATAATCCTGGGAATTTAAATCCTTCGTCTATGGCCCTGACATGTGCCTCAATCCTGGCCTCGAGGGACCACCTTAGAAGGTGAATGAGTTGCAGCTTGTGCCCATTTAAACATGAGCAGGAGCTACCTGCTGGTGATCTTAGCATCTGTTCCGTTGGCAAGTTTGTAAAAGAACCCAGGCACAAAGAACCGAGTTTAGATAGCATTAGAAGTTAAATATTTTTAAGTGTCTCCCACGTTATTTGTGCTATTTTCAGTTGTTAATCTGGGTATGTTTCTATATTTCTTCAGCTTGTACAGTGAAAATAATAGTTGTCGTCTTTCTTGTAGCTGATTTACAGCTCATTTTGTTTGCCAGTTCTTGAAAGTGCAGTGTTGAAGTGTTCAGATCATAAACACAGTGACTGACGACTTTTTTTTATTTTTTCTTAAATCTCACCAGGAAGATCTTTGGAACATTTCAATTAACTGTAATTTTGGTTTAAAACAATATGTCCTTTTAATTCCTGCAGTTCATTTGAATTTTGTCTTGTTTTTTTTTAATTCAAGATAAAACCTAGTAAACTTGCCTGAAGTTAACGGACATGCCTCATTTAAACTTAAATTACCTCATATGCAAGTATTTGCAGGTTCAGAATCATTGCCTGTAAATGTCTTTTTCTAACCCTTGATTTCTACTGTTTTTCTGGGTTTGAGAGATGGGGGGCAGCAGGGGGAGGGGAATGCAGTAATAAATTATAATAAGCATTATTTCGTCTTTAAATAAATAAATGATCCTTAACTTTGTCCAACAGTTGTGAACCAGTGGGCAGTATATGCTATCCGAAATCTCACGGAACAGAATGAGAGAAACCAAGAGCTTATTGCACAGATGGAGGAGAAGGGGCTGGCAGACAATTCTGCCCTTGAGAGTATGGGTTTAGAGATAGAGAAACGAGATGACAAGTTAATTCTGAGATCTGTCAGGAAAAAGCCCTCATGAACAAAACATTAAGAGTCATCAAATCATTAAAAGAGGATTTCTCTTTTAAAATATTTTTCCCTGCTCAGGCAATCAAGATTTCTTCAGTTTTAGTTCCAGTCTGCTGGAAGTGTTGCATTTAGAAAAACTGCCAAATGATACTTCTGCCTCGCTGCTGTAAACAAAAGGACACCTACACATTTTCTAAATACCTAGGTAAATTAACTTACGGAAAAAAGATCCTTCTTTTCAGATGGTTGAAATTTCATTACTTTCTTATTTTGTTAGAAAGATGTCATGCGTGCGGTATTGAGTTGTTATAATTTCCATTGCTGAATCTGGAGATAACTATTATTAAAAACTCAACAAAGAAATAACTGCTTTGCAGTCTGTCTTCTCCGTTTAAAAGATCTATGCTGAGTCAGGGCTAAACAATGGAAGTTACTCATTTTCAATCATAGTGCTTAAATATCTCTGCAGTGGAACATTGCTGTACATAAATGTGTAGTGAATTAAATACAACATGCCTCCTGTGTGTCTAAATTATTAGTAAATTATCTTTTCTACGTTGTTACCTTTCAGTCTTCATGACAAGTATATTAAAAACAAAGCTAAAGCTGTTGTGGCAACAGATGCTACATTCCTTTGCACTGGGGCATGTCTCTGTTTTGGAGACTTGGGTGTTTGTTTGAATTTTATTTGTTCCTTTAGATGGTAAGTCAGCCCACTTTCCTTTTATTTTGCACTTCTCATGGGTTTTCTGAACTCTGGCAGACTGCTGAAGAGGTAGTTTCTCACTGTGATTAATTCTAGCAGTTTCTTTTCACCCCTCTGCCTTTCCAAAACATTGACAAAACTCATTTCCAGTTAATTAATTCAAGAGAGGCAGAAGAATGGAAGGCCCTGCCTCTTCATTTTGGGTACCCTCCTATATTGTTGTTGGACCCTGCCACTGTGGAATGTGGCATGAATGAGATGGGGGGAGAAGGGGGGTGAAGAAAGGACGGGGGCATGGTTAACTCTGTGTGTGCCATAGCTTTGCCCTGGTAGCCAAGAAATGTAATCCTCCACGCATAAGCAAAACAAGAATTACAGCTTAATATTACTAGCGCTCGTGTATCATTGCTGTCATTTGGTTATCTTCAATTGTGTCTAACAGGAAGGTCCCAGAAAAGTTAAATTGTTCATGTTGTTGTCATCATTTAATCCCATTCTTAAACAGAAAGGCAAGTTTATGTCCTGAAACTACACGTACATGTAACAGACATTCAGCCATGTGCATCAGTTTTTGCTCCTCCAATTCGTGTTTTCATTTAAAAATGAAAAAAGCATGTGGTACTTTGAACTACGAGAAATATATAGTAATACTTAAAACTGATGGTGAGTATAGCTGGACCACTAAGATCTTTTAAAGTTAACCATAATATTTCAGTGTCTACTATGCTGATCAGGTGGGACTATGGAATTGACCTAGTGGGATTTTAGTCACCTGTTGGTTTTAAAGGCAATGATACAAAACTGCTGTCTTTAGCCATTTATTAAGTAAAGGATGTATATAAAGGGATAACGGCAATAGGAACAAAGACTGTAACTTTTCTTGGGTTTAGTGACTTCTTACTGTAAAAACAAATGGGGGAGAAAAGTGTTCTTTGTTTTAGCAAAGAATAAATACAAATATAAAGTGCTTTGTTTGCTTTTTAAAAATAATTTGACAGGAACATTTCAGCAGATATTAAAAACTGTTGCCTTTAAGTGCTGGTTTGTAAAATAATTTCTTATGCAGGTAGGTGCCTTTTGCTAGATGAATGGAAAAGGATATATGGTTTTGGCTCTTCTTGAGCACAAGGTCTATCAGATTGTGGTTTCTCAATGATTTCCATAAGCCTTAATTCTTGTATTTAGTCCAGAATTCATTTAGCAGTTTAATTACTGTGTCACATAAGATTTACAGCTGGTTTTGTTTGGGTTTTTTTAATCTTTGTCTCCATAACACAATGGAAAATTCATACTTCTAGTACCTCAATGGCAAAAAAATAAAAATTCTACTCTTAAAAAGGTTTTACTCAGAAGGCTACATCATTCAACTTTAAAGGAAAGAATTAAACTTTTGCTAACAAAGGAGCATCAAATTTAATAGCACCTAGAAATAAAGTTAAGTCATTTTCAGTTGAGTAATTTTAAAGCTTCAAACATTTTTATTTTAGCACCAGTATTTAGGAAACTCATGTTAGATAATTTAACAAAGTGAGGGGAAAAAATAGCATAATTATCCTGAACAGAAAATGAACTTTCTGTGTAAGGAAAAAATGCAAAGAATTTCCTTTTATTCAGGGTAATAAAGAGTTAAAATCCTGTTCACAAAGCAAATCCAGAAAGAACTTTGGTTGTGGAAAAAGCAGTGGGAGTCCCTTTTTCCTTTTAAGCAGTTGGGAATAGACAGGGGTTTTTAACTTGATGGTTGCCTACCCACCAATGGAATACACACAAACCCATAAATATAAGCCAAATAATAACAAACACAAATAAATAAAAGGGGTTTGTGTGTTTCCGTACATAATGGAGTAATAGTTGTGTTTTCTAAATGGGAAATGTAGGGCTTTCACAGTGGAGAACATGCTGATTACTGTATTGTGAGTGGCTGGCTTTTGATTTTCCTAGATGGATTAATTCTCAGAACACAACAGCTTCCCTGTCCTTCCCCCAGTGGAGTCCCAGTCTCCAATAGGCTTGTTTTATATGCTAGGGGATTAATACAGCACAGCAATCAGTCATAAAAAGCAAGCTTTATTGAGTTTGTAAAGGGGCAGAACAGTCAGATCAAGTCTTGTGACCATCTTATTGCTTTTGAGTGCTTTCAAACAATAGTGATCAGCTCTTTTTTTTTTTTTAGGTCTATTTTTTATTAAGGGGGAATAGGGAGTTGGTTTTTCATTGTAAGTGGATGGATTTTTTAAAGACTTTCTTGCAAATTGTGAGAAATAAGCTTAAATGTTTGCAAAGCTCTGAATTTTTACTGCTGCTAATAGTTTAGATTTGTCTAAAGCACTTGTAAAAGGCGTTTTTAAATGGAACCAGCAAAAAATAAAATCCCAGGCAGTTAATGCCATTGTCGCAGTCTTTATTTAGGGGGTGATTTTATATTTTGAGGTTGATGTGTTTGTGTAGCGAGGCTCCAAAAAACCCTCAAATGAAAACGACTGAAATCGAAAATGGAAAGTGCAAATGGAAGAGTCCTAAAAATGTGAGCCGAAATTACCTTAAATCTTTGTACCTGGCCTTATTTCTGTCGTCGTTTTACATTGACTTAAGAATTGGCTGTC